ATTGCAGGGTATTTTGTAAATTATATTATTTTGTCTAGTTGGGTCCACCGGGTCTTTTAGCCTACAGAGCTTGTCCTACGTGAGTGAGTTTGTAGGTTTGAATGCCACCCTAATTCCTGTCTAATCATTTCCACTCATGCATATAAATGAACTAAAAAGTTGTTTGAGTAGTGACTTGATGTGATTATGAGCAATAGTTTGTGCTCGAAACGTGGTCATCAGTTAATATTACTGTATAACACTGTGTGATTTATCAAAATAAAATCTTATCTATAATGGAGTAACTGATAAGATCTCTGTCTGCAACAAACAAAGGACCAGATGCATGACACTAGTTACTTACTACGTAGTGTTCAGTCAAAGTATCTGATACACTCCTACAGGAAGTCAATTGCAAACCCAGATAGTTCAATGGCAACGTCTCTGACTGCAGCACGGGTTAACACAGGTTCGAATCTCAGAGGAAATATGAGTTCCCTCAAGACTGAAGGTACGCCTTGCTCACAGATGAGTGCCAACAAGCAAAAAAAACCCTAGATCGTCGAAGGCTTCCTACCGATTGCTTCAAATCATCTAATAACAACAATTCAGAGATTTTCAAGTATTGATTCAGAGATTCAAAGCCATTAATCACTGGTTGAATATTTCCAACAGGTTGCAGACCTTTATCAACAACTGTCTTCGTTCTATACTGAAGATCAGATGGCCGGAAAGAATCACAAACAGGAAACTATGGGAACAAACAAAACAAGAACCAATCGCTCAACATATATGCAGGATAAAGTGGAGACGGATTGGACACTCGCTGAGGAGGCCACTGGGTGACATCGCGCGTCAGGCCATAGCTCGAGTGGAACCCAAAAGGGAAGCGGCGAGTGGGATGTCCAAGGGTGACATGGAGGAGATTGTGTGAAGAGGAGTTGAAACAGTATGGACTAACATGGATGCAAGTGAAAAGTACAGCAGAAGACAGAAGCAAGTGGAGGCGTGTAGTTGAAGCCCTATGTTCCACTAGGAACCCAAGGGAACAATAATAATAGTAATCATTGGTTGAAAGTTGAATACCTGGACCAATGGTCGAAAACTACTCACATAATCAATCAACATAGTTAAGATTACTTGATCAAAGTATACACATATAAAGTCATCATCTTAGGTAGTCAGATCCTTTGACGTATGCAGACGATGATACATACCATTGATTGACGGGATTGAATACTATTTAAACTCACATATGATAGTAATGAAATTGCTGTCTATCATATCGCCCTAATTTTTTGCACACTAATTATCTGTACGTATTTCATAGCTGGTCTACCTAAAAATAAAATACACTGAAAGGGTGGAAAGACTGTTCAAAAGCACTGCCTTACTGGCATTCGATATGCTACTAGAATACATGCATATTTAATACATATTACTTCAACTAAAATTCCCTGAACACCCAAATATGTGTAAGTATCCTGCAAAACACACTCTATATTGGGTGATTATATGATATATCCGTTATTTTTGAAGTGGCTCCACCTTTATCCGGTAGGTATTAGGGCGTTTCAATAAACAAGCAAAAATATGCCAGCAAAGTTTCATAAAAATTCAATAATATAAATGTTTAATTTTTGAGCATACTGCCTCCCTTAATCCATTACACTGCGCAGATATCGGTATCAAGCAAAACATTTTCTGATAAAAGTGCTGCAAATGTAACACAAATCAAGAAGACAATGCCACCGATAATATGTACGCCAGAAAAAAAGTTTTTAATGCAAAAATTCATTTAACTCACCATATCAAGAGACTAAAACATAACAGTTAGCGGGGATATGCAATAAAGCTACTCTATTATATCATCGCACTTTTAGACATCACCCATGAAAAGAAGCAATTATTTTTTGATAGTAAATTCACAAGTCGGATGAGACAACAGTTGTATGTCATCAGTGTTGAATGACGCTTATCTTAAATCACAATTTAACTAAAGTTAAAGATCACAAGTCCATAAACATGTTGAGTTTCTACAATGCAGTTGAATGGTAACACACTCAACTCAAGATGTTTTACTCCTATGCTCGATTCGTCATAAGATAATGAGTTCACTTTCATTGAAAAGGAAAACCTGACCACTTCTCTTTGGTTTTCACTGACACCATACTTGATTACGTCTAATGATATGTGTTCAAATATTATATTATGCTGATGAATCTGACATTTCAGGACAAAAGTCAATAGGTATTGGAATGAATTGATATTCACTAGCTTATGAACAATAGTGTTGAAATTTGCATCATACCTAGGCAATGAAGCGGGTATAAAATAGTGGGTTCCCTTTCAAACTCCATAATTCCCTAAAACAGACGTCAGCTTTCCCCTATGTAGTTCACAGTCAATGATTATCATAACAATTTAAACAAACAGATGTTAATCTCCATCAATAAAAAAGCGTTACAGATGTCTCTACTTTGATTTGACACTAGTAACTAATGTGATGTGTCTAGTCCTCTCTTTGGTGCAGACTGAATTCAGTCAGCCAGGTTGTAATGTGGCCACCATTCTAGGTAGCTCACCATCACGGTGCACATTGATTTGATGATATTAAATGGTTGGAAGCAATCGGCGGGCTGGCTACCTAGAATGGTGGCCATATTAAAACCTGACTGATAGAATTCAATCTGCACCAAAGAGAGGACTAGACACGTCACACTAGTTACTAGTGTCAAATCAAAATATCCACTACAGTCCTACAGAAGGTCAATCGCGAGCCCGAATAGCTCAGTAGTAACGTCTCTGACTGCAGCACTGAGTGACGCGGGTTTGAATCTCAGAAGGGACATGGGTTCCTTCAAGATTGCAGATACGCCCTGCTGACGAGTGGCAACTAGCACGAAACCTAGGTCCAAGGCTTCCCGCCGAGTGCCTCTAACCATCTAATATCATCAGATGTCTCTACTATAACATTTGTTCAAGTGTATAACTTATGATATGTAATAATCGATTGATTTTTATCTAGCCAATATTTAAACATTTATTGTAAAAGTATGCGAACAGAACTTGAAGGCTTGTTTTTATATGATATATACAACAAAGTAATCTGGTAAATAGACATATGGAAATATGTAAATTTTTGAAGCAAACTTGCAGTATGCCAACCATCTTATACAAAATAATCTAAAACAACGAGAGTAATATGCTGTACATACATCTCCACCTCTTCGATAGGTAATTTAGCAATTACACAGTATTTCTATTTGTTATTGATATAGTTAAGGGTGTTGGTTGAATCCTAATTTGAGAAAAGAGCTGGATAACATGATGTCATTATGTTAGTACATGCAGAAATGATTGCAAAAATACCCCAGAGTTAGGGATGGCAGTTTCAAATTGATCAGAGGTGTAAAATTGACAACACGTGTTACGTTTTGGGTCAAATAATTAAGTTGAACAGAAGTCTAAAAATACTTAGGTCAAGAGGATGGATAAAGACAAAATTAAGGGTAGGAAATTCTGTTATCAAAGTGAAATATAATTATAAAGTAAAAAAATAAAATAACAAAAATTATATTCAACATGGTGGGACACAAGATGAGTATTATTCGTTTAATGGTCACCACTTGAACGACACGTAATAAGCTGAACTTTAATTATCAGAAATGATTTGAATGTACCGATTTCATGACGACTGTACACAAAGTGGCAAGCGGTGACACTGCTGAAGACTTTCGTGTCTTTTAGTCACAAGGTTTTAGAATGTAATCAGATATGAAGTCAAAAATCCTTCTTCGCTTTTGTCCGATGTAGTTGTTTTGACGTGTATCTGTAAATCCATAGATGCAGTTGGAGGTAACATAATCAGCCTTCGATTGTTTCAGTGAGTAACTTGCTCTGTAAAGTGTAACTAATCTGTCGGCTAGATAAGTCCTCTTCAGCCCATTATCTAGGTCTTCCGGACACTTTGTCACCTGTGAATCCAAACTTTAAGAAAACCGGTGTAGTTATAATTGATGTTCTTTCGTGCGTATCATTGAGGATACCTACTAATATGTAGGTATTTTTCAACACTGGTGGATTCCTCATCAAAGCTTTCATTTGAACAGTGCTATTTAATAAGGTTAAACAATTTTAAAATCTGAGAGTACAGTACAGCTGTTTCGTCCTAGTTTGAGACTCTTCATCAGTACGCACCCACCGAGGTTCGAACCCAGGACATTCTGGTTACAAGGTGTGTGCGCACTGCCGGAGGAATTCGCCTTGTAACCAGAAGGTCCTGGGTTCGAACCCCGGTGGGTGTGTACTGCTGGAGAGTCCCAAACTAGGGCGAAACAGCTGTCCAGTACTCTCAGGGTTTCCAGTAGTTCTCTAACTAATGTCAGCTCATGATGAAATCCTCCATCCAATCAAACGAAATCCCTTGAAAATCAATACTTGAAAATCTTAAAATCATTGAGTAGTGTGAAAACTTGTGAATCATATCAAATTCTTTCTGGTTGACAGTCTAAGGCATGTTGCTAAGCCATTCGCTTACATAACATTGTGGGTGAAATAGAATCTATTCCCAGATATTTTATTGTACTTTAATATTCTAATAATAATATGGCATATGTCGTCAGCCAATTGTCCCTTAAACTACACTCACTATCGACTAAATCCTCATTTAGGATGATGTTAGTATTAAAAATAAGTAAGAAATTGTCATGTTCCCTCCAAAACACTTTCAAAGTCAAAACTTCTCTCTTGCTTCCCTAGACTAAGATTTTTAAAGTTATCAAACACTGAAATCATAGAATTTATTATGCTGATTAGCACCAAGTGAATACCGTTTTGATCATAAAAATTCTAATGATGCTAAGTTTTCATATATTCTTGACGGTTTTAGATTTTTGGCTGAACAATCGAATACCAATCAAGGTTGTCTTCGCTTTTTTTTCTTATTCAGTCTTGATTATTAAAAAAATAACGATTTATATACTCAGTTTCGCTAATATTATTTGTTGTATTTATTTCAGGTAAACGGTGTTATGGCTGTCGATCTGAACCATGAGGAAGTGGTTGATCTGATTCGTTGTAAGTACTGATGTATTCATTGATTACATGATTATCTTTCTGTCAGATTTTGATATTTCCTAAATCATATCATCTTACCATCTGAAAATATTTATACACATGGTGTCTAATTTTTTAAATCTTTTTCTGAATTAGCGAAAAGCAAGGTCTGTTTAAGACTTAGACGACTACGTTATCAAGTAGTTGATACCCTGACCGGATATCGAATTGGTTCAATGAGAAACTTAACTGGCAATGAAGCTCCAATTCTCCGATCACAGCAACGTTATCATTACCAGAAACGTAGATCAGTTCGTGAGTCAGTAACCACTGGTAGTACAGCGTCAGCTGTAGTTAAACGAAGACCACGTCTAGGAACGCAAACATTTAAAATGGCACGAAGTTGTTCACCGCCTCCTTCAGCATCAGGAGATTTATTAAACGATTCAGTCGGTCCACATACAGATGAAGATATTGACTGGAGTAGAGAAGATGAGGTAAGAACATGAAAACTTTTAATCTTCTTTCATATTTAGTGGAATAATATTACCTTTGTATGGGTATATGACATCAATTTCCCTAAAGACAGAATATCAGGGAAGTTTCCGTTGAAATCAAGTACATGCCTGTCGATTCTGATTGTAGTTTGTCATCTCATTATTCCCCATCTCACAGCATAAAATAAATCGCTTACAAACACCTCAGTTACCATTAATACTTACAAACTGCTGTATAAAAGATTAAATTTTATTAATTCTTGGAGATAAACTAAAGTGACATTCTCTGTGTGTCGGTGACGCAGCGGTAGAATGCTCGCCGACTACGCATGTGGTTCGATCCTCGGCCTATTCACTCCTTTATCTCGCTTAGCCGGTATTAAGACTGGTAAAGAGGTAAGGTGGAGCATGAGGCTAGCGACCCCATCCCATAAACATAAACACCACAGCTACCGAAACTTCAAGCCTCTAATTGCCTAATTGAGAATTTTACATTGTCCTTCTGGACGGAATCCCTAGGGCTAGTATAGCCATATCGAAACCAAGACCTCTGTTTTTCAAGAGAAACGGCCTGATATCTCAACTTGCCTATTTGCGTGTATTGTTTTACCCATAAATTGTCATCTTCCCACTGACATAAAATCTATTGGAAATTAGGCTTTGATTATGGTAGTGGCTATTTCACATTACTCAAAACTTAGTCATAGTATTCAGAACTATTACTAAATTTCAGGGTTTGATGCGATTCTGATACGGGGAAGATTTGAAATGATGGTTGTGGAATGGAATTCTATTGAAAATAATAAAATTTGATGCAGCTGAATTTGAAAATTTCATTCTCTATTTAAGAAGAGTAGAGTCAAAAGTCCAGTGCATATCTGTGTGTAAAAAACATAGAGACTGTAGCATGCTTGAAACAATGAGTTAAAAATACATTTTTTCTTTAGCTTCAAAGGCCAAATTAACGATACTTTTAGTGTGACATAAAACGCCTTATACACATACATGAATGTGCCAACCAATGGCTGTCTTAGAAATCATACTTAAATTAGCCAACCAAAATCGCGCGTTATGACCTTGAAATATCATTGTCATGCCACATTTACCGCTCATTTCAAAATATTTTAGTAGATGTAGAGACAAAGGAAGTATCTGTGCTCCATTTACACGAGAATAACCATAAGCCTTTGGATTTATATATTATTTTTGAAATTTACTTTGTAAATTTAAAACTATCAACCTGGTTGGTATAACCAAACTGACGCGGTCAAACCGCCGCAAGACGGTAAGTTCTGAATAAAGTATACCTGAATTAAGATTGTTTTAAATGCACATATTTCTAACCGATTTTCGTAATGCAGTCTCACTAAAAAGCTATCTGTTGGATATTTAAAGCTTCTATGCCTAATGTGACTACTGTAGCCAGGTGTGATCTTATGCTATTTTCTTCACTGCACATTTGATATTCAACAAGACTGAGATGCTGATAATAAGTTAAAGGGGATTATTGTGTTTTTATATGATACATGAAATATCAGCGTTGCTTATGTATGGCAGAATTATTGTTAGCAAATACAAGTGGAAGCAGAGTTTCATGATCATTGGATCACCCATGTTGTTGATAACCTCACCATGCTTCGTCATCTTTTCTCTAAAGTTTATTGATCCCTGTTTGATGAAATACTACTAGTATAAGCTTCCACATCAGAGAAAGTGTAGGTAAGATGAATAATAGTGTATGCAAGTAGCTAGGCTCCAGAACCGTAGAGTAATTTAATGTAGGGAAACATTTTTACTTTACGGTAAATTTCTAATAAATACAAGCCTTATTCGAAGTTTTTGATGACTTATTTCTAATATCTTGGCGTTGGCTTTTTATGTTCATTTCTCACTACTGGACTGACCGAGAAAGCTGCTATGAAGTACCCTCATTCTTTTCTGGGTGGCCAGAGGTATAGATTACCATTACTGAAGCATAACCTTCCATTCTGCTGTTAAAACCTTTTTAATAACCAGTCTTATAGTATTGAAAAAACTCTCAGTGTATGTGAAACAATCACAATTTTTACACTTACATTAATTGTTGTTACAATGATAGGAATCAGCTTCCAGCTAGTGGGTTCAGAGTTCGAAATGCAGCCACATTTCATCTTGTGCAGCTGAGTAGTATTGTTAGCCTTCAAAATGTTTGGGACTCAGCTTGGTTCACGGAAAATATTTTCTAGGTAATTGGGTTCTAACTAAACTGTCGTTGGAAATCATATTATACCTGAAAAATAATCCCGCTTACTCACCTACAGTTACTTCCATTTTAGGGTTGAAATTCTCATTTATTTCAAGCTGTCACATACTGTAATTATGATTTTCGCGTAATCTAATCAGTTGAACCGTTTCTCAGCTGAATACCCTTTCTAAATTGAAAAGGGAAATACAGTACATATAACAAAGTTGAGCCTGGAGTAGGAAGTGATCATGGCTGAAGGCTTATCACATGATAATGACTTCTGACTGACAAATAAATATTACATTTTGCTACACTTCTCCGACAAGAGTTCGCCATATTTTTTAGTTCATCAGTCTTCAATAGCTTTTGGCACTATGATCAATAAGTATGTTCTTAAAAAGGAGATGTTATTCAGTCATCTAGATTACAAGCCCTGACTTTTTAATGATTAATATGTTACACATACTTTAACATCATTTACCCTAAAATGATGTGGTAATGGGTTTACGTTTGAGAGAGGAAGATAAGCAGATGAAAACATATCACCGATCTACGAATTAACTGAATGTTAGTTTGAGGTGCGCGAAAAACAGATTCTTATGTGGTGATCTCAGTACGCATACAGAGACTTGTTCTAGGACTTGCCAACTGGCATTGACTCTTGAGCTAGACAAATGATTTTCTTTCTTTTTTTGTTCCTTCACGTTCCTAGTGGAAAATAGGGCTTCAAGCTAGAGGCTTGAAGTTTCTGTAGCAGTGGGGTTTATTTTTACAGGATGGGGTTGCTAGCCTCATGCCCAACCTTCCCTTTTTACCAGTCTTATTACTGGCTTAGCGAGGTAAAGAAGTGCGTTGGTGGCCGGGGATCGAACCCCGGACCATGTGCATGGTCGACGAGTGTCTTAACCGCTTTGCCACCGACGCACCAGACAAATGATGTGCTACACAGTAATCTCCTCCGAGGTAGTGTTAGCTGAAGCAGGACTAGAGTGAACAAAGACTAGTAGTCAGACAAATATCTGAAGTCTGTGACTTAGTATTTAGATATGTAGGATGTTTGGGTGAAGTCATGGGGATATTAAGGATAAACGGTTGAAAACTGCATGAAATAGTCCAGAATGGTTAATGACTATGCAAATGTTCTCACTCATCACTATTTTCAAAAGCTCAAGTATTTTTATCTGTTTCGCTTAATCATTTTCTCTTATGGCTTTATTTATTTTGTTATTGTTGTCACTTTACTTCTTTGCTTCATTTTTGGCTCTCTCTTGGAGTGGGGCACATCTGTGCAATGTTTTCAGTTAATCTATACATATCCTTTCTTTCTATGGTAATCTATAACTATATGGGTTTTTATCTTGCTTGTTGTTATCACTTCACACCTGAACCCGTACTAAGTGATATTAGATCCCCCATTAACATCACCTGTCTGTCAATATGTATGCTTGCTCAGCACTTGTTTCAAACTCAAACACTGGTATAAGAGCTCCTAGATGATGAAACATACAGAAAGCATATGGGCTGTATGTTACATCCGGGATCTTGGAGAGGATAACAGTTAGCTTTATGCAAATAATTGTGTCTTGAAAGTTCTTCAAAGTTTTCATTAATAAGGTAAACCTTTATTCAGCAAAGAAATATTGGTTTCCACCAACCTCATTTTCTAGCTGTACAGTCGTATTTACTGGCACAAAACATCTTCAGTCGATACCCATGCGATCCAAGTGAACATAGACGTTAAAAAGGGAGCGAGGTTAAAGCGAATGGAAAACAGAAAAGCTGGTATTAGAAGGCACAAACTACGTTGTGTTTTCAGAAAATTGGAATTATCTTTATTACTTACTGCCTTAGGTTCCGAGTGGAACTTAGGGCTTCAGCAAAAAATCTTCATATCATCACGTCCTCTTTAGTTGGTTCCACGATTGTTCATAATCTCTTATCTCCTCTTCACAAGATCTCCAGCATGTCACCCTCAAACGCTCAATTCATCGCTTCCCATTCAGCTCCCACGAGGCCTGTGTGGCGCGTGATTTCACTAAACGGCCTCCCCAGCGTGTTCTCGATTCATCTCCATTCATCTCTTTTGGCATATTTGTTAGGCAATAGGTTCTTAACTTGTTCGTTCCCAGAGTTCCTCGTTGCTAATTTTTACTTGCTGGCCCTCTGATCTTCAGTATGGGGTAAAGGTAGTTGTTAATGAAAATCTGCATCTGGCTGTTTCGTAATGCTTCTCATGATACGTCAAGTCTTTGGACCATATAGAATCTTGTTGTTTGTGCTTAATGCCGTAGATTTCCACGCTGATTTCAGAGTAATGAAGGGCTGTCTTGTCTTTCCGATAGTTAAAAGGGTGTCGCCCTGAATAAGTGAAAGAAGTGCTTTCCTTCAAATTTCACCCTTTAATGGTAATAGAAAAGGATTAAGTGAAGTAGAATTATACTAACCAGAAGAAAGCATTATTTAGAATCAAGATAAAGAATGGAGTCTTGGATACCGTTTTTGTTTATGTATAACCAGTGCTTCACCCATACACAAGTGGACTTTATCGCATGCATACTGAAGATTCTTTTAGTACTTATAACTGCCTTTTATGTAACATAAATAATAAAACTGAGCAACTTGAAAATGAAGTTGTTGGTTAGAGAAACTTTCTTCCCTGAACTAAGCTTTGTGATTTGCTCCCTCATGAAAAAGTGGATATATTTTGAAGAATTTCTACTCTGTCTTCGTATATTTGTGACTAATCTGCTTTAAATCTGTGTGGTCATCATAGTGC